GCTCATCATCCGGCGGCCACCATGCGTAGCAGGATCATGAAAATGAAGGATCGGCTGGACGCAGGTGAACAGTCGGGCGTAGTCTCTCGAATCCCGTGCCAAAACTGTCCTTGCCACTACACAGGCCAGACAGGACGACGTCTGAGCTCACGAATACTTTAGCACAAACGGGCCGTTCGGAGAGGCGACCCACTCTCTCAAGTAGCCACTCACACGCTCGAGGAAGGGCATGAGTTCGACTTCGCCAACACGCGGATATTGGCGCGAGCCGGCAACAAGACGGGGCGAGAACTGTTGGAAGCGTGGGTGTCGGACACCAACACATTGATTTGCCTGCGTGTTATCACGCACTCCGCCCATGCAGCCAGGTAGAGCAGCTCACACCGTCGCGAAGTGCAAATGGCGTCACCACGCCGGGGGAACATCGTGGACCAGGCGGCACAAACCCTACCTAGCCACGGACGTACTCCCCCTTCCCCCCCCCGCAAGGATGAACGATATAAATGCTCACAATTTGCTGCACTCGAGTAACCTCTGATGATGAACTCTAGTTCGAGTTCGAAAGCTCAGGCATATAAACTTACTGTCCCAGTGATCGTGCCTTCGCCTTCTTTTAAACAAGAACCTGGAATGCGCATATTCTCTTTCATTCGCCAAAATTTATTTTCGATCAAAAGGATTGTCCAGGTGGAACTTTAATAGTGGTAAACATGCACCATAATCGCTAAGATGCCGGCTTTGGGATCTGTTTCTTCCCGACCACTTTTAAAAATTGCTTTCCATGTCAACGATAGGAGATATGACCAACAACCATGCTAAGCTGGCCTGTGGACCGTGTCATACGTTAACTGGTTGTAGGGGGAACTTTGCAGGTGGGATAACACCCAGGCCAGAGAGAAAGAAGTCACAGAAAACAGATAAGTTTCTGTCAAAAGTCTTATCGTATGCTGTCATTTAGTTAAGAATGTGAACGCAGTGATTAAGGAAAAACAAAAAGGAATTTTCAAAAAATAAAGGACTTTGAAAACAGCGCCGCTAGTAAGTTTAGATTTATTAAGGAAAGAAAAAAAATTTTAGACAATGCGAACGGTAAATCATGAGAGATGTGTACAATCACGTTGCAGTTTAGGGTATATTTCTGTTGTCTGGGTTCTACACCCCATCGGTACCCCTTCCATAAAAATGTTTATTTGAGAGTCACGACTTCTCCAATGATTTGCGACCCCGTTATAAGTCTGAACATACTTTATAGAAAACTCATTTAAGGATATTCTTCCCCATTTTGTAGCAAAGTATGAACCCATCAATTTATTTACTCGGAGAAAAGGAAGCTCTCAAATTACAAAGTCCAGAATTATGAATTTTTTGAAGGCATTAAAACATTTGTTTACATGCCGTTATGTCTATCCTTTTCCTGGTGCTACTTAGTATTCGGCTTGGCAAATATTCGTCTCACACTTTTATGAACCTAATAAAGGGATGATTGATTTTTTTAATGGAGGAATGCAGTTTGTAGTCTGGAAAGATCTAACGCGAATTCAGCAGTAGGTCGGGTTCAAAATTATCTGGAAATCGAAAAGAAACTATTTTAACATCAAAACCGCATTTACTTTGAGTAAAAAACTTAAAGGAATGGAAATTTTTTACAAAGTGCATAGAAATGTCTCTAGTTAATGTGTTTGAATTTTTACGGGCGTCTAAAATCAGCGAAGAATATCATTCAGATGTCAGCATCCTGGACTGACTGAAATATGTCGTGATATGCTGCATTCCAATCGCTATTACAAGCACACCGGCACAGTGTCCTGGACCAATGAGACACTGGTCATTATACTAGGCTTAGAGTCTAACTGTTTAGTTTTAGATATCCCATATCTTAGACCCAGACTCGAAGAAAAAGAAACTGACGCTTATCTTATTTCCCTCATTTAAGTCTTACTCCGGCACTCTCCTCTTCACTTCGTCTCTGATACCCTAAAATGCCTTTATTCACATTCTTCAAAAATGGACAGTCTCAAGGCAGCCCCGAGTTTGAATCATGCGTTGTTAACACATGTGGCTGTTAACATAAATCGGATCGCATTTTCGGACCTCCAAACCTAACTTCACCCGATAAATACTTCCAAACGTCGATCCTGATTTTGGTCACTCTAAGGCATTTTCTACTGTCATTTACCATAGCCTGCTTTAACTCGTCAGCACAAATACTTAAGGATAACTCTTTACATAACCCTAACCGTTGCTTACAGTGAGCGGTCGATCTCATGAAACGCTAATCGAAATCCCGAAATGCATTTTCTATCAGGAAGGATTTCTTAAGTAGGGTTGAACTTCCGGTATATTATTCGGCATAATTCCATGATATTTCACACATGCCAAAGTGTTGCTCTTTGAATGCATTTCTTAATGACCGTCTGCAAAAACAGCCCTCGGCAAAAAATTGACTTCTTATGAACTGTGCATCTCTCCGTTGATTTTCAATACTCTCGTTAATGCAATTATGCGTCGCGGACAACAAATTCAAAGATATCTTTTTGAAATCATTTCGAGGCGAATTGGGTCGCCTTTAAATTCTATATTCGAAGAAAGGGTATTTTTAGATCTAAAACGTTTTTCCAATTCCAGTGTGATTTTAAAACCAACCTGCTATTTCACTTTACTTAAGGCTTTGAATTCACAAGTTATATATTTTCGATGTTAGGAAATCATTTTTCCCTCTACGTCACTTAAAACATATCACAAGGGAACCATAAACTTTCAGTGGTTATGGACCAATGCGTATGCTTTAAAAGTAATCATAGTAGATAAACAGATACGATGCAATTTGAATGGATATCTCACGATCTTAAAAACGCTTATTATTGAAAACATTTTAAAATCAAAAGGAACCATTTGTTTCGGCCTACAACTTAAAGAATGAATACTTGGTCACCGAATCAGTACACTTGAAGATATTTTTAACCCGAAATGTGTCTGAATTTATAAAAACACAAAGAATCGGTGAAAAAATGCAAACTAATTAATTGGTCATTTTTGCCGAAAGCAACTTTTACAGATGGCAAGAAGGGAATGCATTTAAAAGCCAGAAGTATGTTAGGATTATGCTGAATGACAATTACTACTAGAACCGAACTTCAGTAATTTTTCCCAATTAAAAACTTAGTTTTAAATTTCGTTTAACTCTTGATAATTGGTAAAAATCGGATTAATCCTTCCGGAAGCACTTTTTAAAGGGTAGGGATTGCAAAAGAAAAATGGGAGTTGAAAGTAAGCGGAAAGGCCATATTTCCAAGGTCCGGATCTCCAGATGATTTATTGTTCGTAGAACAGGCTTATGCCAGTAAATTACACAGTTTGACACAGTAATATGTACTCGACATTTAAGAAATCCTACGGACGAAGCCCAGAAGCCACAGACTGCTGGTTGCCAAAGCTGCTCAACTTGATGGGGTAACTCAGCCCAATCTCAATTAAACTCAACGCTCGTCCCTTGTCAATACCTCACAGTCCAGGTGGTTAAAAGCGTTGTCTGTGCTTACACTCTGCTTTTTCCGCCCAAGGTTCGAGTTCTAACGAGACGTCGAGTTTTTCCGGTTGATTATTGAAGTAAACTGCTTAAATATACAGTAGGTGGGTCAACTCATGAAATATCAGCCGAAATTCCAAAAGGCATCTTCGTTTCAAAAAGATTAATTAAGTGGGTTTGTAAAACTAGTCAGCATGCGCCATAATTTTATAATATTTCAGCTACCTCAGGATGCCGACTTTCGAATGAACTTTCCGTCTGCATATACAAACTAAACTCTGTAAAGAACGACTACTTATGTACCATGAATTTTTCGCATTGATTTTTGAAGCCCTTAAAAGTTCAATTATATTTCATAAAAACATGCAAAAAATATTCGTTCTTTTACCCATTTGGTGAAAAATGCGTCTTATCCCAATTTATACTCGAAGAAGGGGTATAAATCGGTTTTCAGAAATTTTCTTATTGTGAGATTCTTTAATAATGTGGATTGGTCGTTCATGTCTCTGCATTTGCCAATATGGCTTGTGAACTTATCAATTTGGCTCAAATCCACCGTTACATTTTATGAACCGCGTACGGTCTTCTCCCAATAGCGTAGAGAAATGAATGGTTTTCGGTACGCGGAAAATACACGACTGGCAGTTTGGAAACCCTAAATCCAAGAGTAACGATAGAGTGGGTTCAAAATTCTTCGGGAATTTGAAAAGGTTTTGAAAACCGAATTATACCCTTACTTCGAGTTTAAGATTGGAAGACGCTATTTTCTACCGAATGAGCATAAGAATGAATATTTTTAAATATGTTTTCCATGAACTAAAATAAGATATTTAGAGGCATGGAGAATTATGAGACAAATTCATGCAAAATAGGTAGTCGCTTTTTACAGAGTGCTGTTTCTGCATGCACTGCATGAAATGTGGTGGTTAGTCTCGAAATTCGGTTTTATGGCGTGAAGGTGGGCAGTGTTTGAGCCCCAAGTAAAATATTCCATTGAGAAAGATTATTGGAAAGAAGTAACTCACATAATTTGAAAGTGGCGGCTGCGAAATGTCTTCGCGCTTACACGCTTCCTGTATCTGATCAATCGTTCACCTGCTTATAAATTAATTGGTGCTCTTCCTTCCTCTCGTAAAAAGTCAGCCAGGTTTATTCACCGACCGTTCTGCTAAAATCGCAAGTTAAATTTCTCTGACTGCAATAATTTCAACTCGTTTGTCATTCAAGTACTCCACCGGGTTACTCAAAGGAAGCCGAAAATTTTGGCAGGTAAAGTAGAGAGTCACAAGTTCAAGTCAGTATAATTTTAAACTGGCATCTGTTCTTTCATTGCTTATTCAGACGCTTTAAATACTCCCTCCAGTGGACATGCAGTCTAAAACATATGACCTACTTGTGATGCCTCGTCAGTTGAAATTGATTTGTACAAGATTCCCGTTATGTACACAATCAAACTGGAAGCTGGAGAGTTGCCCAATTTTCTGTTTGTCCACAAGTTTGGCTGGCTTGAGTTTCCAAAAACAATTTAATTATCAGATATCAGTTACAAGTAATCTCACAAAAATCAGTAAGTCTGATTTACGATTTTGATGCCGACTCTTCACCCCCTACCCAAGTGCTCTGTTTTTACATGAGGAGAGACTGCAATTTTCATGTTAAAATGGGCACCATGACGACGAATTATCTGCATTCATCACTGGCACGCAGAAACAAGAAACAGGCCTACATTAGTAATTGTCCGCCTTGACAACGTTCGATGTCTCTGCCTGTTAGATTTCTGACCCCCAGAGAGAATGCACATACCCTGGACAGAATATAGTGTCCTGCAGTCGGTGCAGATAACTCCGGACAAACTGGTAGCCGATATTTTTGTCTACCGTCAAAACAAAAAGTTGGTCTGCCCTCTGGAATATGAGTACGACAACGTGGACTGGGAATGAGTGCGGGCAACTCACCGTGGTGACGTTAGCGATTTCGATGGCCTCTGGGATTTCAGCAGCTGCCGGGTGTGTGTTATTCCGCATCTGCAGTGTGACCCAACCGATATTGCAACGGATGCCGAAGGTAATCATGAAGCCGAAGCAGCACATCCATGCAGTGTAGAAACGCTTCGAACATCGACAGAGCAGGTAGTTGGTGCACTTGTGTCTCCACTTGGCTGGACCCTTGACCTCCTCCTCCTCCTCTTCAATGGTGGGCACCTGCTTAAAGATTGGGATCCCATCCGGTCCGATGCGGGCGGACATACTCATTTGTTTCTTTATGCGGGGGATTGCCGGATCGGTGACCGAGTTGGCCGTCTCGCCTGTGTACTCGTTGGGCTTCATCACTAGGCCGATTCTATTCCAACAGAGAGAGAGGGAGCGGAGGGGAAAGTAGCGGGTGATCAAAGCAGACAGAGGAGATCAAGTTTCAGACGAAGATCAGCATGCACACTTACAATGCCATGATTTTAAATAAGTACTGTTTGTTCCAGTCAGTTACTTTTGCGGGGTGTTGTGCTACACCTGTCCCCATTTAGGCAGCATAAACAAATTAAATAGATTAAGCAGACCCGAACAGCTCCTTTATTCTTATCACTGCTCACCAGTGCGCCACGACCTTCTCTACGACTCTTGACCTCTTGTTTAGCTTCAGCATAAACGGCTGCCTTTGAGCAGACCCCTAGCGTGACCTCAGTTTGAATGCAACTAACAGTTTCAGCGACAGTGTTTCTATAAGCGCCGCGGTAGAAGGACCCGTTATGGTGTTGCTGTTTATTTAAATCCTGGTCATTTGCTATGTGAACCAGGGGGCGTGGAATGAAGCGCCAGGGTGCGGTTTCGGTCTTCCCATCCATATGCGCCCTCTCCCGACCTCTGGAGCCTGTCTTGACACCGGGCTCAGATGGGGATGGAGGTTAGATTGCGGTAGATGCAGCGCAAGTTTACATTCACCATAAGCTAGATCACGCGCAGTAGTCGAGGAAGGAAATTCAAAGTTTTGCTGAAAGAATTCAGATGATTACAAGAGATTGGTAAAAAAAATGTGTACAAAATGTAACTGTATTTTGTTGATCACGAACGGACCGCTGACTACCCGGAGGTGGAAGAAATTAAGCACCAAACCAATTTCGACAAATGCACGATCTCTTTGGACGTAGAATAACTATGTTCAAATGTACCACTTGGTGAGACAATAGACGTCATACGCGCCCATGCGTTTGAAACCAGCCTGCCACCCAAAATACTACGTGACACGCAAGTTTACAGGCAAACTGATGGAGTAACGATGGGAAGTCCGATAATTTCAACCTCGATCAACATTCTATGGGTCACTTAAAGGAAAGTATGTCATTGAAAGTGAAGATAAACACATATGCGAATGATATATTCGCGATTGTTGACAGCGAGGAAGAATCCGGTCACCCACTTTTCGGCTTGGAAAGGAATCACTCAAAAATTAAGTTCACAGTGAAATGGGAGCAACGCAACAAGACAGCTGTCCCGGAAGCCTTCACGTTTAACCAGCAAAGTGATTTAAAAAGACAACCGATTTTTCATAAGAATACGGAAGAATCAATAATTGCATTTTCTGAGCTCTGCCCCAAAACAAATGAAAACTGATGTGCACTTTTTTCAAGGAACGAGAACAATTTGCTCCATTGGGACACTAGATGCAAAAATTGTCTGCTTCAAGACAACTTTGTTTAAGTATGGCTATCCAGCTAGTTTCATTCAAAAATACATCGATCCCTTACGGCCAAAACTGATGGATTAATCATTTCCAAAAAGACCTGTTGTAATATCCTTAGTCTTTATACATGACAACACTTCAGGTAGCGTCATTCGACGCTTGAGATGCACCGCCGAAAGGGCATACAGTGCAGCCAAACTCATATTCACCAATCCTACTACAGCTGTTCTAATTTTACGGACGAAGGATGTCTTGCCATTGCGCGCAACCTGGAAACTGTGCTTATGAATTTACACGCACATGAGGATGCAAGTAAACTGGACGAACTCAAAGGCAACTGGCAGCCAGACCACTTGAATACCTGCGTAAATGGCTTTCAAAGCAAGAAAACAGAATTCTTCGTTCTTCTTTTACGAAGCACGCC